GAAAATAAACAAGAAAAATATAAAATGTTTGATAAGGCTTAAGATGTGGCTAGTATTATATTCTTATTATTCATTCTTGATTTTATTCCCTAAAAAGTTAAAAGAAAGTAAGGCCATTCTTGTTTTTCTTAGCAAAATTTAAGAAAATACCAGAAAGATGATTCTTATTTTGCTTGGTAATGTTCAAGATGATGTAAGAACTTTTTTTCTTAACTCTCTAGTTTTTCTTATCATGTGATATTTTCTGAACCCCTGATAGGTTGATTAAAATCCTAGAATGCAGTTAGTAGGTTTTGAACATAAGACAGATGTGGAAGGCGCGCTGGTTACTTACTTTTGTCAGTTATTGACTCATGTCAAATTTGAAGTCAAAATCAAGTTAAAAAGGCCCTTACGCCAAAAAGCAGTTACTCAAGCAACTGGATATGATTTTGAAAACGTCAGACGTTTCAGTTAGTATCCACTAGCTTTCGTCAGTGACTGAGAGACCAGAGGGGAAAACAGGTTTATAAGCCCACTTCATGGTACCAAATGTTCAGTGTCTGACATTTCATATTCTGTTGTTAATAGGTAATTATGCCCACGTAACTCGTCTGTACGAAAGGATTTAACCACACACACACACACACACACACACACACACACACACACACACACAGGCAAGAACGCACACACGCGGGCGCTCGCGAACACTCACACATACACACTGGTACATACAGGTACAAAGTACAAACACAATTACGCACATACACACAGTCACACATACACACCGGTACATACAGATACAAACACAATTACGCACGCACACACACACACACACACACACACACATGCACACACACACACACATCAACACACACACACACACACACACACACACACACACACACACACACACACACACACACACACACAAACACGGTGCCTGACGAATGTACTATTTTGTATCTCGACTATAGCAGAGCGGCCTACTGTCAAGTTCTGCCACGCGTCTTAAGTAATAGAAACTGCGAGTAGTGAGCAAGTCAGCGTTACATGGGACGACCCGCAGTTTGTAGACAACGTTAGGATAAAAATCACCACACACGTCGTGAAACCAAACAAGTACTTAAGCCTCATCATCTTTCCCCATAAATCTTACTTGAAAATAATATATGAAATATATTTACTTCCCCATTGTAAATGCGCGATGATGCACCCATTTGCAAGTCTCTAAATACGCAAAATGGGGTAAGTGGGGCATTTGAAATATGCTGTGCATGCCAAAAAACGTTAAGATGCTGAAATGCTTTCAAAATGCTTTGGTGACATGATTTTGATATTTATTAGTATTTATTGTATATTTTCTGTATGAGGGTGAGTTGATTGAGTCAGATCGCACAAGCTGTACCCTTATCTAAAGAAATTGTTTCAGGCCTTGCATTATTTCTTGATTGCTTTTAATTAATTGTTTTCTTGGCACTTTTGAGGCCTTTCACTTGGATGTTTTACTACGTTAAGTACACCGCTGAGGACGAGCACGGTAATTTTGCTAAGTGTACCTTCACTATCCACGTCAAGAGTAAGTATCATTAACAACACTGCCAACTATAACGTAGCTGGGCTAGGTAGGACCGGGGGGAGGCGCTTAGAACTCGCGAACGGTATGTTGAATGACCACCAAATTTTTAGAGGATGGTTTATTTATCATATCTACCATTTTTATGTTGTTATGACGTAATATGACGCCATTACCACTTCATTAATGTGATTTTATTGGCCAAAACTTTTAGATAGGTTGTTCCCTGAAAACTAAATGGTATACAACATAACTTTACCAAAAGTGTTTATGACAGAATATTAGGGTGTACTAAGTCTTACGTTGCCCTTAGCAACACCGGTGACGTCATAAAATGCCGCCATGCATATTTAAGATCAATGAAGCCTATTTCAATGGTAAACATGAGCAGGTATCTTCTGTTAGAGACGTCCTCTCTCACACATGTAGGACATAAAGCCGGAGGTCTAGTGTTCAGTGGAATTTGTACTGCATTAGTATTTTAATTTCTACATCGATGGCGCTAATAGTAATATTTGACTACAAATGACTATCAAGAAGTTTCATTGCGTTACTCAGTGGCAATTAAAAAGACAATCTAGAAAGCACAGGCTGTCAAAAACTTACTGCAAATACTACTTTCCTGGGCGGAAAAATAATTACTTGCTAATTCATGCAAACAACAATAGGATGTACTTTTACAGCAAAATATATATGGAGCACTGCATACAATTGGTCCCATATATCACTAGGTCAGACAGGTATCTTGGTTAAATAAAAAAAAACACGGATTGAAATATAAGAATCTTATGTTTCTAGTGTACAGTGAACACTGAATCTTCCATACATGTCAACAATACATCATATGGCTAACGCAATCTCTCTACAGAGAAGGAGTGCAAATAGCTTCTCCTAGCGAAGAACGGCGATCTCAGTTGCGATAATTGGGTGCATTGAAAGTTTTGCCAGCTAAGTTGTGACTCGTGCTTTTAACTGTTCGAAGAAGATGCTGCCGAATACTATACATACGCATGTGGTCGGGACGGCGAATGGAAACCGACATCAAGGGTTCCAAACTGGATCGGTGAGATGGATTTTGATTTTGTCATATAAGGCCATACCGATTTAATTTTATGGATGACAACCTTTAAAGACCCCCAAACTAGTGCGCGCGGGCAAATTTAAAAAAAAAAATCCGGCCAAAAAATGGTACTAAACCACAGGAATCCAAAGCTGGTATTGTGAATTCGCAGAAGTTTTACTTAGCAACGTATACGACAAGTCGGGACATGGTGGCTTTTTGTGTAATTCGGTACTGTACGTATATATTGAGTTCTTGAGTCGTGGAGCTTCCATTCGGTAGCCATCGTGTCCGGCTCCGTTTTGTCCCTAATTACCATGGATTACCCAGGCATAGAGCCAGGCCAGAGACTCGGTGGATGTGACTTTTTT